GATTGGGTAAATTCCATGTTTTGGTCTTCAAGTTCTAAGATTCTTTCTTCTGCTTGATTAATTCTGTTTTTCATGCTTGTCATATTGTTATTTATTTCCTGGATGAAAATTTTTATGGCCAAAATCTCTATTGCAAGTTCTTTCAGTGTTGTATCTTGTCTTTCTTGAATCTTACTCACTCTTTCCATCCATTCCCTAAACCCTGTTGTATTCTGGGACCAGTCACTGATAACTTCCCTTGTTTGGGCTCTGAGGTCTGATTTTTCAGGTGTTTTCTCTTTGTAATAGTGGAAATTACCTGGGTTCTTCCACTGATTTTTTTCCCCCCTCATTTGTGACAGAGCTCTTTCTTTTATCTTTAGTTCCATTATTCAGTGGCAGTGGGAGAGGATTTCACTTCTGATGTTTGCTTAGTCCTGTATTCTTCCTGATCAGAGTTCTGAATTTGTTCTATTTTGAAATAAAGTTGTGAGTGGGAAACCTGGATGTCTCTTGTAGTTTTGAGAGTTGAATAAGGTGGAGGATGGGGAGCTAGAATTCAGAAACTACTTGCAAAACACAATGTTCACTGATTGTGGTATGGGTTCCCTGAGACCCACTACCCATCACCACTATATGACAATGCAATGGGTACTTGTGTGTACCCCCCTGAGTACAAGATACAGTAACAGCAATGAAGAGAACAGAGAAAATTAGAATGAAATAAGATGGACATAAATTAAAAAAAAAATTAAAAAACACACACAGAACAGCAAAAGCCGAAATCAAAGCAAAGAACAATTAAACACACACACACAGAGACACACCAAAACAAACTGGAAGAACAACAAATCAAAACAAAACAAAACAAGACAGAAAATCAGGAAAACCAAATACACACACACACACACACACACACACACACACATACATATACACACAAAAAACACAAAATGAAAGGAAAAGAAAAAGAGAAAAAAAAGGAATTCAAATCAAACCCTCACACTTATATTCACATATAGTAAACTAGAAACAAAAGAGAACTAAAAAACAAAAACAAAAACAAAACTGAAAGATGAACACTCAGTCATTCACTTATACATGAAAACAGGAAAAAAAGCAAAAGAAAAAAGAAAGGAAAAGAAAAAAGAAAAAGAAAAAAAGGGTGGGGGTGATGCAGATCAAACCCTCACATATACATTCTCGCACAAAGAAAAAATATAAAAACATTAAAAAACCAACTAACAAACAAAAAAGCCTGCCTTCTTGTGGCAGGTTCTGTAATTGTTCCTCTCAGTGGCTCACAGGTAAGCCCCTCTGCTGTCTCCTGCAGAACTTGGCTTCATTCACAATCTCCCCAGTGTCCAGCCCAGGGAAGGAGGAGGGGGCATTAGGAGTGGGTGGAGCTTCAGTCCTCCCTTCCCACTCTCATATGGTCAGGGAGATCCCCTCTGGTGGGAAGGTATGGGATAGTCTCTTCCCCAGGCACTGGTGGGGGGTCGCCCCAGCCAGGCTTATCCTGGAGTAGAGTCCTTCTATCAGGGTTAACATCTAGACTTCTGGGTTCGACCCTCTCAGTCATAGCCCAGCCTTGTGGGTCTGATGTTCAGAGGATTGTTGGAGAGGAGGGGGTTGGGTCAGCCCTGGACACATCACCGATCTTGTTGGAGGTCTTCCTTGTCCTTTTCTGGCCACACCCTTGAATCAGGGTAGAGGGTGGAGCACCTGAGACTCAGCACTAGTCCTGTCACTCCTGGGTTTGTGCTTTCAGGATATTCCCTCTGAGTCACAATCAGCCCCTGAATAGTTGATCTCCTAATCACAGAAATCGGGTCTGTTGCTCCATGGTGAGCAAGCTGGAGCACTTTCCTGCCCTGTTTTCAAGATGGTGGCAGGGTACCTCTTTCTTCTTCTCCATTAGGGCTCTGCCTCTGGGCTCCCTCACTATGCTCCCTCTGTGGCCCTGGCTGCCAGTATCCGCCCAGGTTCCGCAGTTGTGAGGCAGAGTCTGGAGCCAGCAGTCTCTTCTGGCAGCTTCTTCCCAGGAAGGGCTTTGTTGATTTAAAGAAAAAATGATGCTCGGCTTCTGCATGCTGGGAAGCTCTAGGGACCAAGCAGAGCAGCTGCAGCAACAGTCACTTCACCAGGAGAGCCCTGGCCACTTGATCCCAAGTCCCCACTCATACACCCACTTACTCACCGCCACATTCACAAAATTTCCATACACTCACTCACTCACACTGGGACTTGCATAGTCTGACTGTCTGCCACCTTCGTCCTCCCTTCCTTTCCAAAATGATACATTTCTCTTGTTCAGACTACTTTGTGGCATTGTGTTATGGCAGAACTAGCAGGCAAATGTAGACAGCTTCATTTAGCTAAAGTCTGATTGGTTGAAGAGATAGCCTTTTTGTGGACATAGTGTCTGTTGTATTCTTACTGGAAGTTGTCTCGTCTGTTTAGGCTGTTATAACAAAATATCTCATACTCTGTAGCTTATAAACAACAGAAACATTTCTCACAGTTCTGGAGGCTGGGAGTCCATGATCAAAGCACCAGCAGACTCGATGTCTGGTGAGGGCCCACTTCCCTAGTTCATAGATGGTGCCTTCTCACATGGTAGAAGGCATCACTAAGCTCCCTCAGGCCTCTTTTAGAAGGGTACTAATCCCATCCTTGAGGGCTCCACCCTCCTGACTTAATCACTTCCCCAAAGCCCAAGCCCTTTGATCATATTGGGGGTTATGTTTCAACATATCAGTTTAGGGGGACACAAACATTCACACCACGGTTGGAGAGGAAGGCTGTACCCCCTCTCTCCTCCCCCATCACCACACACATGAACTCCTTTAGTCTCATAGCCTTGGAGAAGAGATTTTGCTTTCTTGTTAGGGGCTGGTTGTGGAAGAGTAGTAGATCACCACAACTTAGGCTAAAATCAGACATTCACTTCATTCACCAGCAGCCCCATCCGTCTGTCACTGCTGTAAGAAAACTTAGTAGGACTTTATATTCACATTATTTCCGTGGGTTTTACTGTCCCCTTCGCCACTTTTTTCAGACTCATTCTCCATGCCATCATTTCTTCTCCCCACCCCCTACTTTTTTTTCCATCTCCTTTAATCTTGGATTGATGTTATACATAAAAGAATCAAGCATTAATCTCTGGTTCACCATGGGTGGTGAGAATATAGTTTCCTTTTATGAGTTCCTCAAAGTGAGAGATAAGGAAAACGTTAACATAATTAAAGATAAAAATAAAAAGAAGACTTCAATAGACTTGAATTCCTATGAGACAGGCCTCTGTGAAGCTTTTCATTAGGTCTGATTTCTGACCATCACAGATAAGAGGGGCTGGTTTGTCTTTTCCATTTCAGGGATGTGATCTTTAGAAAGCTGTAAAGAATTTTTAAGGGTGAGGAGTCCACTTGTCTCAATGGGTATGAGCAGAAATCCTTGTTGTTCTGGTTCCTCCCTTCTGGGGAAAAAAGCAGTGGCTTGCTCTTTAAATGTTTTTCTCAAATAATAAAAGATCTTATGTATGAAGAAAGCCAACATGGGCCAGAGTCTTCCCAGAATGACTCTCATCAGAAACGGTGAGATAGAAGTGAAAGAGGAGACATGGGAAATAGAATTAGGAGGCTGGGGTGGAGGACAGAGAAAGAATGGCTGAAGAACAGAAAACAAAAACAAAAAGCAAATTGCAGAAGTTTCTTAAGGGTGCAAAGAAGTGGATGTTCACACTGGTGATACTAATTACTAGCTATTTAACATGTCAGTTGTTTGAATATGGGAGTGGGTGTGAGGGAACAGCCATATCCAAGGAATCCAAGAATGAATACTCTTCTCTATAAGATGATGCTAAGGGTAGAATGACCAGATACCATCTATTGTCCGAACTGGTAGTGTTAACAGTTGTGCTGATACAACAAGAATAAACCAAGGCTGTCCCAAGCAAACCAAGATGCAAAGTCACTCTAAATAATATTATTTCCATGGATTACTTCCATGATTTCCATGGGGTCTTTACACATACAGTGCCATGGTAGCAAAAACAGTGAGAGTCACAGGTAACGTTCCTGCCAATAGCCAGGGCTTTGCACACTATCTGACTATTTCCCTCAGCAACTCGAGAGGCAGATGCAGACAAAAAAAAATTCCAACACTGTCTACCACATTACTCCTGGGAGAGAGGACACAATAATTATATAAGAACCTAGAAAAGTCCAGGGATGTGCTCGAAGAATTTTCACCCCAGTACACAAACCATCACACTCTATTGCCTCCAGGCAATATCCTGTTTATCTAAATTCTATGCTCACAATAGTGTGGCCTATAGGAAGCTTACCATGCAGACATCACTTCATTCTCATTGCTCCAGGTCTTGAAACCTTGTGACATCCACAGCAGCATGAGATTCACACTTACTAATCTCATCTCTCCAGAAGAAAAAGTAGAGAGTTTTGTGTCGAACACTATCCTCCCAACACAAAGGCCTTTAAAATTGTATCTATAGATAGATGTAAATATAGATATCACCTTTATAGGTATATACACAAAAAAGCAGGCCAGTTTCATTTATTAAAGCTGATGAACTTATTCCATTTCTCTGCATCTTGCCAGTGGAAGATGAGCCCTTATGTCTTGGTCATTGCTGTTCACTTTAACTCTCATAGTGGAATTTGTGTTACTCATATAATGTATGTACTAAAGAAAAATATCTTTTAGTTTTAGGAAGTCTATGTACTAAAACTGAAATTTCACATGAGCATGGTGGGCCCAGCTAAGCTCGCTGCATGAGGAGATATCTACCATTCTTTTTATTTATTTTATCATTTAGCATCTCTTTGTAAAATGTTTTAAAAATAACAATTAAACTGACAAAAGTTAAAAACTATACCTTAAGCATAAATAACCTGAATTTATCAATTTAACCTAAATGTGATTTTAATGACAAATTAACCAATAGGCCCAAATAAAGAATTGTTTGGATATTATTTATCAAATAAATATCATACCAAAGAGTTTTTCCAAAGATTTATTGAAGCAGAAACAAGTTGGTCGGATACTTGCTGGAAAAAAAGCAGTTTTAATGGTATTCAAAAATACTTTTTAAAAAGTATTCTAGCACAAGACTTCTTCGTAAACTAGATTATGTTGTAAACGTTTGTCTAAATCTCTTAGGAGTGTCGGTTGTTAAGAACTAGAGTTTATTCCTATTCCAAATCTATCTTGCGCTCCTGAAAAACTGCAGAAAGGCACTTGAAAGCTGTTTCTTTAAGATATGGATTTCTTTTTTATTCTTGCTGGTAATATATTGCTGCACTGTGTGTGTGCAATTTTCATTCAAGATCATCGTGATGCTGAGAAGTTTCATTGATAACCTGTTTAAAAAAAAACAAAACTCAGATGAAATATGATACTACATGCCAAAGATTAAATTTCCCATAAAGCATGGCAAAAAACCCTGCTAAACACACAATTTATTGTACAAGTCGGGAATGTGTGTTGGTTCTGCATGGGTGGCAGCTAAGGACAGATCTATATGCAACACACTCTTCCCCTACAGACAATGTAAGTGTGCAATGAAATGTTGTGACTTACAAAAACAAAACCTTTAAAAAATGTGTGTTTATGAAGGATGCTACAATAATCCCATGCAGCAGTATGAGGAAGCAATTATGATATATTTAAATGTACAGTAAGTACATTTTAAATCTATGTGCAAGGGAAGATGTCATGAAGATTATAATAAATGGCAACCACTTCGTTCCTGGCATAGAGAGGTGACAAGAAACTAATCGATCATATAGATGTACTATATAGACAGATGCGCTTAGGAATCTATACCACAAGTTAGGGGACAGGAGGAGGCCATATGTCCAGGATCAATACATTTCTGGCATTGAAATGACCTAGTGGAATTGTCTAATGATGCTAGTCTAGAAAGTGACTTAAGAAAGTCTTACTCCCATTTCAAATTAAGCACCATAGCAAATCACTAACTTTGGAGTGCAGGAAGCAGATTGCTCTCTCCCATTCACATCCAGAAGCCAATTAATTAGTTGGCTGTGTATATTGCTAAAAGGAGCAGCCTATTCTTTTTTGGTAGGCATGAGTGAAACCTGAACCTCTCAAAAATTTGCCAGCTGTGTATGAGATGCTGACTTACTGATTTAAAAGGATAACAATGCCTATGTGAGATGACTCCATTTTTTTCTTTGATACCAACCTGTCCATCTCTAGTTTCAACTGTCTTAATCAGAAGGGTCCTTTTTGAGTGAGTATCAACCAGAGGGAGTGAATCCAGGTTAGTTTCTGTAGAAATAAACAGGCCAAAGATAAATAAAAATGAATTTTTTTAAAAAAACCAAGTAACCAATTATGATTATTTTTTGCAATTACTTAAAGTGCTACTCTCAAAATAATTCTAGAGTATGTTTTGACACACTTGAACTTCAAGATGAGATGTAGAATACCAAGAGAAAGAAGTAAAATGGAATTTACATGTAACTTAAAACATAGAATTGCCAGAGAGTACTTGGGTTTAAATATGAATATTTCATACAATTTTCTCTTATATGGCTTTTTTTTTTTTAGGTATCATTAAAGAATGACTGCTTTGCCATACACACAATTGTTACAAACTGCTGATATTTTTCAAAAAGGGAAATAAAATGCTTACCCCTCAGGTTCAGGGAGGAAAAGTTTGGAAGAGGCAGCGAAATCCTATAAGCAGATGAAGAAAATCAGTAAAATTGTTGGAGAATAACTTCAACCACAAAGAACAAATAAATGTATACACTTGTTTTCATCAAATAAAAAAAATTTACTCATGTACTTTGTGTACTCATTGACTGGGGATTTGCTTCAGAAGCATTTACCCATGATTTAAATGTCTCGTTAGGACATTTAAAATCTTGTACTACAAGCATTTTCTCCACATGGAGACCAATTGGAGGCATGCTGGCTGGGAAGGCTTTGACAGAGTTGTAGGTTCAAACTCCAGCTCTGCTACTGATGTACTGATGAGCTCTGACTAGGGAAACCACTCACTCTCTCTGAACCTACAGTTCCTCAACTATAAGAAGTGGAAAATAGCTACTTTGAAGAAATGTGTTAAAGGTTAAATGAGACAACGGACTTTAGGTGTGATGACACAGTACCTAGCCAAAGGTAGCCATTAATTCATGCACACAGGTCTGTGTTTCCTACCTGCTCTCCTCGCCTTCCAGCAGCTTCCTGTAGGTGGCAATCTCGATGTCAAGAGCCATCTTGACATTGAGCAAGTCTTGGTATTCACGAAGGTGACGAGCCATTTCTTCCTTCATGTTCTGAATCTCATCCTGCAGGCGGCCAATAGTGTCTTGGTAGTTAGCAGCTTCAACAGCAAAGTTTTCTTCCATTTCACGCATCTGGCGTTCCAGGGACTCATTCTGCAAGAAGTGAGAGAGTCTTCCCATATTACCCAGAAAAACACAGCTATTCCCAGAATCATCTACTATCATTTCCCTTAGTGGTAAATGGTGACTACTCTCATTTTACATGGAGAATAAGAAACCAAGTCTTCCCCACCTGCATTCCCCTCCCTTTTTTTTTGTCAGAGTCCATTCACTCTGTCACCCAGGCTGGAATGCAGTGGCATGATCACACCTCACGTGCAACCTCTACTTCCTGGGCTCAAGTGATCTTCCTGCCTCAGTCTCCCAAGCAGCTGGGACTTTAAGTGTGCATCACCACACCTGGTTAATTTTTTCATTTTTTTTGTAGAGACGAGGTCTCACTATGTTGCCCAGGCTACTATCAAACTCCTGAGCTCAAGCAATCCTCCCACCTCAGTCTCCCAAAGTTCTGGGATTACAGGCGTGGGCCACCATTCTCAGTTCCAAGTCTTTCTTATTAGAAGCTAAGATCTATGTGACCTTAAATCTGTAAGATCTCCATCGAGTGTTTTTAGTCTACCTTGGTAACTCATTTTCTTTGTATTAAAATATAAATTTTTCTCTACCTAATTATGTTTGCATAACATCATGAGCTTGGCCAATAGCATGAGTCATTATTTTCCTCTTGACTGCAGGGCTGGTACTCACAGTTCCTTTAAGGGCATCCACTTCACAGGTGAGGGACTGCACCTGTCTCCGGTACTCGTTGGACTCCTGCTTCGCCTGGCGCAGGGCATCATTGTTCCGGTTAGCAGCCTCAGAGAGGTCAGCAAACTGTCAGGAGGAAAATTAGAAATGCAGATTGCCCACATTCAAGTACATCCTTCTGACTCTCTTAGTTAAAAAATCATAATTCTAACTCGATGTCTTCCAGAATAGTCTCAATTTCTGTTTTAGAAGGCAGAGAAAGAGCAGTGAAATGCTGACATTGACATTTTCAAACAGAATTCACTCTACCGTGCTCATTTAAAAACAACAGAGGTCAAGAGCATGGCATTGGGGCTTACTTGGAAGTAGGGTTAGTGGAAAGGGAGTCTCCTATTCTAAAGGAGGCACTGTGAGTCATGGGATGGTGCAGAAACAAACAAAATACGAAGGAGGACTTAAAGCCAGCTTTTGGCTGAAGCTAAGGATCCTTAGGAATCACAGATTGGGTGGTGTTTTCAGAACACAATACTTTTATTCGGTCTAAGCCACAATGACTGGTTTCGTACCTTGGACTTGTACCATTCTTCTGCCTCCTGAAGGTTTTTGGCAGCCACACTTTCATACTGCTGGCGTACATCACGTAGGGCAGCCGTGAGGTCGGGCTTGGAGACGTCCACATCGATCTGGACATGCTGTTCCTGGATCTGGGCCTGCAGCTCCTGGATTTCCTAAAGAAACAACCCACAGAAGGTCAGTCATGCCCAGTGGGGGTTAGGGGGGCAGCTTCACCCACATTCATTCACTAGAAGTGACTCCACCAACCTCATCATGCAGTTTCTTCAAAAAGGCGATCTCTTCTTGCAAGGATTCCACTTTACGCTCAAGGTCAAGACGTGCCAGAGACGCATTGTCAACATCCTTTTTGGAAAGAAAAAAAAAGACATGAAGGACGCGAAAGTCTATGGCTTATTTCATTTATTCATATTAAATTAACTATATGAACTTAGTCTCTTTACTACAGAAAAGGTGTGGACAGATTTTCATGATTTTGGTATAAGTTTACAAATCATTTAGTACCATAATACATTATGCTTTCTTCTCTTCGTCAATAAACCTGAATTGTGATCCATAGTGTTGTACTCAAGGTGGTGAACTGACAGTTTAAAAATAAATAAATGTTTGGGAGGTTGAGGTGAGTGGATCGCCTGGGCCCGCGGGTTCGAGACCCGCCTGGGCAACTTGGTGAGTCCTCATCTTCACAATAAATCAAAAAATCAGCCAGGCATGGTAGCGCGTGTCTGTAATTCCGGCTACTCGGAAGGCTGAGGCGGAAGGATTGCCGGAGCCCAGCAGGTCGAGGCTGCGGTGGCCGGGAGTGGCCACTGCACTCCAGTCTGGGCGACAGAGTGAGACTCCAACTCAAAAAAAAATAAAAAATAAAAATAAAAAAATAAATAAATGACCACCAACATGATAAACTGCACTTGATCATTACTGAACCCACATTTTACCAGTGACATTTTAAAATTACTTTTCAAATCTAGAAAATTAATACCATAGCACATTGAAGATTTGTTTTGTAATATCATGGTATAACATGATGATAGGGGTGGACCAGATTCCACAACTTCAGGTAGACCTGAATACATGGAAACCGAAACTCATGTTTCTAAAGTTTTAGCTTTTTTTTCTCTTCTCAAACTTTTTGAAATCCATCCTTAGGATCGAAAGCAGATATGTGGTCATCTGAAATCCAGGTTACAAGGTTAGGCTTATATCAAGTAGCAATTCAATACTCCAATTCAGGATGTGCACTGTCAAAGACGCAGTTCAAGAAAAGGAAAGTAAGTGTAACTCAACTATATTGGCTTTGCTTTTTGAGTGGATTTTTCTCCTGAAACTCCCTTGACTCATCCTATAAGGGGGTTTTTATCTTTTTCACTTGCTAAAGTGTCAATTCAGTTATTTAGCCTGTTTCAGAATGACTAGTCAAGCATGCAGATAATGAAACTACTTGTACAATTCTTGCTGATACAGTCCTCTGGAGCTGTCACTATGTGTACGTGCTACATTTCAAATCAGAATAGCAATCTTGCAACTAAGATTTTATTTCCCTCCATGAGATTGTCATGGCGACTGTTTATCTCACAAGCAATAATATTTGCAGAACAGTTTATAGCCTTACACTCTTAAACTGTTGAGATACTTCTATCACCTTTGTGGAAAAATGAGTGAGGAGTGAGTGACAATAAAAACATCAGACTTGAAGAAAACATGCATTTTTGTTTGTTAAGCCATAAAGAGATATAAAAATATATTTTTCTAACTTCTAAGTTTTTTTTAAAAAAAAGCTCAATGATGCATTCTATTAGTACATTGAAAAGAATGAGGAGTTTTACTTAATCACTAAACTGAGGGCATTTTATATTCATATTGTTTTATAGTAACTCACTACTCTGCAGAAAATATTACAAGTATGATGATCATCCAAAGTTCAGGGACTAAAGTGAACCACATATTGCTGTGTTTAAATTAATTTGGCAAATGTATTTCAGCTTCAAAGGGCTATGCTACACTATTCGTTGGAGAATTCTTGGCATGTAATTTCAGTAAGTATTACAGGGAACAAAACTATAAACTACCCCAGGGATCGTCTATTTTGGGATTCCAATTTTAAGTTAAAAATCCTTTAAGTTCATCTAAGTTTGGTGCAAGTTACCTTTTACTTAAAAGTTCATTTTTCAGCCTTACTTTTTTTAAAATGGAGAGAGTGTTTTAAAAATACAATAATCCAATTTTTAAAAAGCCCTTTCAAAATTGTGAGGCATAGCTGTAGCTTTAAGAACTTTTCACATCACATACTTCACAAGTCTGGGCCAGATATTAGATAACGGATGTTAGCAAATACTTGTGTCCAATTAGAACGGTGCTTACATCATAACATATTCAGTAAGAATGTAGCCTGTTGCAAAGCTTCTCTGGGAACACAAAGACTCCTATTATTTCCCTCCAGAGCCATCACACTTGCCAGAACGTCTGTATCCACATTCCATAGTGAAGCCCATAGAAACCATTAATACCTTTCAGCAGAAGGGACAGATGGCTCCTTTTCACCCTTATTAGATCACAAAATAGTTGTGCATAGTGATACTTCCATCAAACTTTAATGCCACAATAGAACTTGTAGAGAAGAAAAGAAACTTGCTGGCTTCATTCCAATTAAAAACTAAGTTTTCTTGATCTCCAACACGCTTCACATTTTAAACTACAGGGTATAACTGTGCTTTTGGGGATCTTATAAAAATGAGACCGCTTAACTTTGGCAAACTACAATCTAAATCAAACTGTAAATGCTGGAAATCAGAAGGTTCATGTGTTGCAAAAATGAAATGGAACATTGTTTCTCTGGGAAAATATCTTGAAACAAAGTAAAAAGTTAAAAGGCTTTCATTATGTCCTAAGGAATGGTTCAGGGGTCCTCACACTTTTAAAACAGGGGGCCAGTTCACTGTCCCTCCGACCCTTGGAGGGGCGGACAATAGTTTAAAAAAAAAACTATGAACAAATTCCTTTTTTTTTTTTTAAACTATAGTCCGTCCCTCCAAGGGTCGGAGGGCCAGTGAACTGGCCCCCTGTTTTAAAAGTGTGAGGACCTCTGGAAGGGATTTTTGTTTTTTGGTTTTTTTTTTTTAAACTATAGTCCGCCCCTCCAAGGGTCGGAGGGACAGTGAACTGGCCCCCTGTTTTAAAAGTGTGAGGACCTCTGGAAGGGATTTTTGTTTTTTGGTTTTGCTTTGGCTTTTAAAATCCAGGGGAGCGCCGATCTGTGGTCTTTCCACCACTAGGGGGCTTTACGCACAGCGGTGAGGGTTTTGCACTTTGGAGACTTGGGTTGAGTAACTTTCAGAGCCGCCTGTGGGTTGGCAGGGTGGGGACGGCGGCTGCGAGTGGGAAGAGTCTACAAACCTGTCTGAAAGATTGCAGGGTGCTCTCGGCTTCCTCTCTCTGAAGCATCTCCTCCTGCAATCTGAAACGGTTGCACATGAACCAAAGGGGAACTGGGAAACCGCCAGGCGCGGGGCGGCCACACCCAGCCACCACGTCGCTCCGCCGCGCGGCAAGAGCCGCCGCGCCACCTCGGCGGGCCGTCCGCTCCTGCGGCTCTTAGACCCGCTGCCCTCGGCAGGATTCCGCGGGACTCGGGCCCCGAGGCCATCACGGTCTCCGCACAGCCCGGCTGGGACAGACAGCCCCGCCCCCCGCCCCCAGGAGCCTCTGCCGTCCCTTTGTCTCGCTTCCTCCGCCGCGGTCCCCTCCTTCCTCCTCCCGCCCCGGGAGTGGCAGAGCGCCAGACGAGGCCAGGAAACTTTCTGAAAGTTTGAGGCCATCGTTCGCATCTTGCCCACGAAGCCATAACTGCAGACAAAGCGGTCGTTTCAGAAATCCGTAACGCGAAAGCGAGCGCCCACCGGCCATCAGTCGGGGCAGAGGGGAATCCCAAGTGCAAGGTCTGGGTTCAGGGCGGGGCTTGGCCGCCGCGGCTACTCCTCCGGTCCCAGCGGGCCCCCAGGCAGCCACCGCCCGGGCCACATCCCCACG